TTACATTGCCATGAAGGGGAGGAGGTAGAACAAGTCATTCGTGTCAGAAAATGAAGCTGGTTTAGGAAGCCATGTGTGAACCGGGAATAATCACTCCCTGGGAGGGCCAGCGCCAGGTTAGAGCGAGGCCAGATGAGGAGGCTGCAGGCAGGTGACTGCAGGCCAGCTGTTCTCTAGTTCTTCGTTATCTGAACGCCAGGAGCAGTCGGCCCGGAGAGGTCAGACAGAGACTTGGACAGCCTCCTTCTGGAGCAGCCGGCAGCCCCAGGAGGAGTTTGTCCCTGTCCTTTCTAGATCTCATTTCCCTTACCCAGCTCTGCAGGGACCCCGTGTCTATCTCAAAGGAGCCCCCATATTCGTGCCCAGCAATAGGTCAGGGACCATCGCACCCGATGAAAATCCAGGCAGCCCCAGCCCAGAGAAGAAACCCAGCGAACCAAGGGGCTGGACTGGCTGGCTTACCAGGTCGGTCCTTTCAGAGGCAGGAGGGCATTTGAGCAGAATCCCCTGCTCTACCTCAAGCTCCAAGTCCTTTCCTGGAAAGCAAGCCTGTCCTGGAAGGACCAGAAGGGCCAAGGCAGGTGGAAGGAGGAGAGGCGGGCAGGCAGGAGGGGCTTGCAGACGGGAGGGGCAGGCTGTCTGCCCTCCTTTCGTGCAGGCCTCACGCTCCAAAAGCAGACTTTCCACCCAGAGGCTGCTGCTGACCTCAAACCACCACCATTGTGCCTGCCGTCCCCAGCTGGGGAGGTCCGCGGTGGCTATGCTGATGGGCAGCAGGGAGCGTGGCCCTGGCACAGGGCATCTCTGGGTGGTGGCAGCAGCAGACCGGGACTCAACCCAAGCCCCACTCTTTACTAACTGCTGACTTCGGACAAGTTATTTCTCTTTCTGCACACATTGCCTACCACCACCCACCCCGCAGGATGCCGATTAAATCAGGTAAAGTATAAGGACTCCTGGTCCACAGGACTTTGCCCAGTTGCAGTGTCTACCCTGTTACGGGATTTTAGATGTTTAAGAATCATTTCCCCTGCCCCAAAAGACCAGCGGGGCCATCCACGGGGCGACATTGGTTTGTCTCTGTAGAGTCCCTGGGTGTGCCGTAGACCAATTTCAACATGTCATAATTTTAAGAGTTTCATCAAAAGGTTGATGAGACTTGGGGACTCAACAGGGTTGAGTCACACATGTAGTCACCTGTTGGGAATGGCTAAAGGCATTTCCCCAAACCTGAATAGGAAACTGATTGTGGCTGCCAGACAGTTAAAGGGCATCTTAATCTACATGTTATTGCCTCCTACTGGCCAAACACCTGAACAGCGGTAGGCTATTCCCCAAACTGACAATGCTTCTGTACCCCTTGAAACCTTACCCTTTGAAGTGTATTATCTCCACCTCGCCTTAGGACAAATTGTGTTAATAAAAGCAAGGGTCCTAGGCAAGGAGGTACTCTTCAGTTCCTTTAGCTGAAGGTCCTCTGACCCCCAATGCCTTTCAAAATTATATCTCGTCTCCAGACTCTTTATTAGTCTCTGGATTCCTATGTCATCTGCGCACAGCCTTTTCCAGATTCCTGAACCCTTCTTGATGCTGGGACATGAACCCCGGCATGGGTGGGGGGTTCAGAAGGGATGCCCTCGTCCGTTGGGTGGATGGGAGGCAGACGCCTATCACATCCCCAACCTGCACACACAATCCCTCTCCACTGTTCTAGAAGGTTCTCATCACAAAGCAGTCTGGGGATTGGGGAGGTAAATGTCCCACACAACTCAGGGGCCTGCTGGTGTTGCCCAAAGACCACCTTCCTTGCATGAGACAGCAGGAGGCCCGGTGAGCAGCCCTCCCACCCAGCTCAAGCCCAGACGAGTCAGCACAGCACCAGAGAGGCATCGGAAGTGAAATGAGAGACCCAAAGATCACAGCAGCCACTGGCACCTAAGATAGCTCGGTTAGAAGAGCAGCTAAAAAATCTATGGTGGCCACGTCCATCTGGTGTGTGGCTTTGAAGGTTAACCTTGATTTCCAAGTGCCTTTGATTGCAATGCTCAGAGTGGAGCTAGGCAGCAGGCTGTTGGGTTGGACAGAACCCCACAATTGCCGGGAGACCTGAAAGAGGAAGGATCAGAGCCCTCAATACAAGATCCCTAATACAGTGGGGCCTTGACTTACGAGTGTCCCGACTAACGAGTTTGAGCCGTCTCTCGGCCGATTTTTTGCTTTGAGCTGTGAGCTAAAATTCGTGTTACGAGCCAGCTTCAGATACCCCACCGCTAGTTGGCGCAACGAACGTCACAGTGAACGCCACATCAGCCCAGCATCACATGTCTCACTTGTTCACTTCTTGATTTGACATACGAGTAATTTGAGTTACGAGCTCCGTCACGGAACGAATTAAACTCGTAAGTCAAGGCCCCACTGTACAAGATCTGATGAGAGACCTTTGTGCTCTCAGGCAGTGAGTGTAGGCGAGAGGCAGCACAGCTTCCTGGGGTACAGTGTGAACCCCAGAACCAGACCCAGACTCCAATCCCGGCTCTTGCACCTGCTACTGTATGTTATGTCCTGGGGCAGGGTAGTAACTCCCTCTGCCCGGGCTGCCTCACTTGTCACAGCAGTACCTGCTCAGGGGGTGGCTGGCAGGATCACGTGATTCGACACAGGCAAAGGGTTTAGAACAATGCCCGACACGGGGCAGGTAAGTGCTCCACATATGTTAGCCACTGAATTGCATATGATCTCAGGGAAAACGTGGTACTGACTATACATAGTGTGAGCTAGCCAAGCACAAGGAAAAACAGACAAATTCGGTATGCCATAAACACATGAAGGACTTAGTATTTATATCTGATTTCCACTTGGCTTAATAATCATTTTCATAATCACACTGGGAGCCTCTGAAGGTCCTAGACTGTGGCTTCAACCTTCGATCCGCCGCAGCCCCCGGCCCACGGTGGCAGTTTCACCTCACGGGCTGGCCATTTACTCCAGATGTGGCCTATGGGAAACTCCAACCCCCCCAAGCCTCAGGTTCCCAATCTGCCAGTTTCTGCCTCTCATAAAACTGTTTCATTCGGTTTACCCAGTAAAGCTCTGGAGTCACGGAGGAGTTGTTGACAATCTGCTGAGAGACCGAGTGAGGCTCCGCACGCTGGGAAATGTGCAAACTTCCCCCCACAGAAGAGATGCTGTTGCGAATGTCATTTGGAACCGCACTGCACACTTCCCAGCGTTCATAAACCCAGGGTGGGGACCACACTCAACTGTGTTCTGCGGATGGAGACCGGCGGGCCTCAGGCCATGCGCTTGGATGCCTGCGGTGATTTCCAGCTGTGTTCTGCAGGTCCGAGAGCAGGACCTGGCAAACGTCCCCCCACAGGAGAGGTGCTGTTGCGAATGTCATTTGGAACCGCACTGTGCACTTCCCAGCATTCATAAACCCAGCGTGGGGACCACACTCAAACCGTGCTCTGCAGATGGAGACAGGCGGGCCTCAGGCCATGCGCTTGGATGCCTGCGATGATTTCCAGCTGTGTTCTGCAGGTCCGAGAGCAGGACCGGGTCAGGCTGATGCCTCTGCAAGGCCTGGAACTTCTGGACTTGGGGCTGTTCAGCCCCCATAGGACCTTGCGGTCTGGTCATTTCCCTACCATTTGAAAACTTAGAGCACAAAACTTTCTGGATAATGACTGTCCCCAACAAAGACAGGATCACTGTAACTGTCCTCACGGTCAACGAACGAATGCCAAACGCGTGGAGGAAGGCCCTGCAGGCCTGGAAGGACGTCTTCCCTTCGACTGTGGCTCCCGAGAAGAGGTGGCCTCGCAGAACTCTCCCTCCCACCGGACCCTGGCAGAGGGGCCAAAGAGGCCTACATACAGCTTCAAAAGTAGATAATGCCAGAAAGAGCACCTTTTATTGCAAAGGATAAAATACCTCAAAACACCTGACTTTAAAAAACAACAACCCTGACTTTTAAACAATTATGCAAAGGCTGGGAGGATATGAAGAGTAGAAAATCTCACTTGTATTTGAGATGCTCTCTCTGGTCAGAATAAGGAGAGTCAAGGGCTATAGGATAGCGGGGTGGACAGGATGCATACATGACTGGGGGCATCAAACAGCAGCTGCCTGCAGCAGCCCGGATGGTGAATGCAGAGCTGCCCTGCAGCCCTGGCCGGTGTGGCTCAGTGGGCTGAACATCATCCCCTGCACCAGAAGGTCGCTGGTTCGACTCCCGGTCAGGGCACATGCCCAGGTTGCAGGCTTGACCTCCAGTCGGGGGCCTGCAGGAGGCAGCCGAGCAGTGTTTCTCACATCAGTGTTTCTCAAATCAATAAAAACATATGTATATTTTTAAAGAGCTGCCCTGCAGGGCAGGCAGAGTTCCAGGAAGCCACCAGGGCTGCTGAGGGACCAGAGGAGCAGCAGCAGGGAGCCAGGGCCACCCTGAGAACTGGAGGCACGAGGAGCAGGTGTGGTCACCCACGTCGGTGGAAGCTGCGGGCATCAGGGAACCCGCAGACTGAGCCACAGCCTGAAACTGCACAGAGCAGGGAGTGACAGCCGAGAAATGCCCCACCTCCCCTGCTCCCATCAGCGGACCCCAATCACAGCGGTCACCGCGAGAGGACAGGGCAGAAAATGGGTCTGAGGACAGAAAATGAGCAGTGTAGGTCCTTTCCATGGAGAAGTAACTTCCGTTTCCTATAAAATGGAGACCATGGTACCTGCTATCAGCCTGCTATAAGTCAAGAGAGATTATGTGCCGCTCTAGCCAGTGTTTCTCAGTGGGCAGAGCATTGGCCTACACCCAAGGTTTGCAGGTTCACACATGTGGGAGGCAACCAATCAATCTGTCTCTCTCAAATTGATTTTTCTCTCTCCCTCTCTCTCCCCCCCTCTCTAAAATTCAATGGAAAAAAAGATATCCTCGGGTGAGGATTAACAAAAAAAAAAGAAGAGAGATTTTGTGCAAACTGATGACAAGAGAACAAGTTTAATTTAGGAACAAGGAATCAACAGGAGCCACCTCTTTATTCTGTTAACACACTTCTCGGTTTGCTGAAAATGGGCAGTTTGGACTTCTCGGCACATCACAGGCATCCAGGTACACTCATTCTCTGTGCCACCCTGACCCACACCCACCCTTCTGTTTCAGAAACTGCTCTCGGCCGGCCGGAATGCCACCGTATTTCACTTCCTGGAGCAGCTTCCAGCCATTCACTTCGGCTGTTTCTTGGCAGACAGGGAGCCACACTCTGAAGAAAACAAGGAAGTCCAAATAATGGGAGAGTTGAGATTCCCGTCGGGTGAGACCGTGTATTGAAAGGCAATCTTGCTTGATCCAGGAGTTCTTACATGAGGGCAGCTGCATAAGAATGTCTCTTCCCCATGACACACCTAAGCAATCAAACCAAACGAATGCAGAAACCCAATGGAATGAGCCCACTGGCGTTGTCGAATGACTCTCAGAAGCAGGAAAGCAATTATAAAGATACAGGATGATTGTCTCCTCCGCATTGCATCTGGCCACAAATTTGTTTATTAAATAAAATGTTTTGTTTTTAAGCTAAAGAAAATATTCTTGAGTAGGGTTAGTCCTTAAAGCAACAAAAATCATGTGTATATAATAAAATCAAAGTATGAGAGCATGCCAGAGCTGGACAGGTCTGGGCCCTGGTCCTCCTTTATTCTGGGAATCTGGGGCTCTGTGGGCGTGTGCCCCGTCGGGATCACCAGGGCAAGATAAACTGGGACTTGGAAACACCCCTTTCAACGTCCAGGCCAGTACTCTGCCCACCTCAATCTCCCCGCACGCACCCAGCTCACTGCCGGCTCCAACACCGTGGAGAAGGGCACAGGTAGCATGTAAAACAGCCCATTTTTAGATAAGGACGTAAGTCTTCTGAATGGTGAGCTCTGGTCTCCATTCTCGCAGCCAACCGGGGAACCAGAAGGAAGTGGCCGAAGTGAGGGGCAGGGACTTCCTCACCAACCAAGACCGACACTCACTGGCTCCCACAGCTCCTGGGCCTCAGAGCTTTCTCACCTCCCAGCCTCAGTTACGAGTGGGCTGAGGCATTACCAGGCAGGCCTCCTGGCAAATACCCCAACATGGTGGAAGCAGTGGGGGAATCAGGAACATGCCGAGGGTGGAAGGAACCCTGGAGTTCCAGCGGGACAGTCGACCAACTGCAGGCTTGTTGCATCCCTGAGAGGACAGCGGGATCCAGGCTGGGTACGGAGGGCTCAGCCTCTGTGCCCGTTTGTATGACTGTTGTCTATCACCCCCTTCCCCCTGACTGTGCTCCAGGAAGAGTTGCATTTTGATCCATTTTACTGTTTTTTTCCCAGTGCCGAGAACCATGCTTGACACATCGTAGACGCCCAATAAATATCTGTAAATGAATCAGTCGCTAAAGGGAGGAATTTCTCCACACCCCCAAACCAGAGGTGAGGAAGGCTTGGCGCTCCTGCTCCAGGGGCCTCACGTGTGTGTGTGTGTGTGTGTGTGTGTGTGTGTGTGTGGCACTAACGCATGCCTCCCGTCTCTAGGATGCGTGGGCCTCTGCTGAAGCAGATGAACACTGCCATCTCTGCCCCACCCATGGCCACGGCTTGCAGGGTTCTTTCCCTGGCCCTGACTGAGGGGAGCTCAGCTGTGATGGCCCGGCCTCTGGGTGTGCCTGGGGACTGTCACAGTGGGAGGAGACACCAGGAAGGCCAGGAGGAAGTGACGGGTACCCTGCATCCTCCCAGTGCCACGCTCCCTGTAATTCTGTCCCTGCAACGTGTCCTTGCCCAGACGGCACCCAATTGCAGTCCGCAGTCACTCCGTGCCTGGTGCCGGCCGATGTCCCTCCGCCCCCAGGAAGTTGGAAAGAGCCTTCCCATTTGCACAGACACACCTCTATCTGATTTCAGCTTCTTTCCTCCCTTTCCTACATAAACCTGAGATCCTTCTCAATCCACCTCCTGTCTACACATCCCCCAGCTTTCAAGGACTTCCTCCTCCCCACCCAAACCCACACACACCTGCTTATCTCTCCTCCCTCCTCCCTTTCCTTGTGACCTCACTGGGTACCTCCTGCCTCTTCCTCGCCCCTAAGTCCATGAGCCTTAACCCCATATCCTCCTCTTCCCCATCCAGCAACCACCCTGCCCAAGGACGGGAGAGCCCAACTCAGAGGCCTGCTGTCGGAGGAGGGAGGAGAGGACCAATAAGAAATGACAGGACGGCCCCAAGTTCCGGAAACCACATCACCCGTCAAAAGCCCTACTTGCAAGTCTCCCTAAGAAGTTGCAAGTGGTGCCTGGGCACTGGTCTCAGCACGGTTCAGAAATTACAACAAGATTCCAGATAAAATGAACCACCAAGGCCATGGATACAAGTGACCCTCTGACCCTCTCCTCCGTCAGCAAGCTGTGCACCGAGACCACCTGAGCTTCTCTCCTCGGGGTTCACTGTCCCTTAACGCCAGGCCGATTCTTTTTCTCCAGCTCTAATGTCCACGTGGTCTTTGTTCTACCTTCTCCCTCTTGCCTCTGCTCCTCAATACTTAAAACCTAGTAACTTCACATTTAAAAAAGTAATACTCAATACAGACGTGTGAACCTGACAGACAAGCCCCCGGGAAGCCTCTGTCACAGTCCGAAACGGAACAGCAGCGGCCATGAGAAGTTGCTTTAAAATACGTACAGCCTGCGCATCACTTCCCACGTGCACAGCGGCTGTTAAACAGTGACGAGCATTTGGACCCTTCCTCCTGGCGGGGGGAGGGCAGGGGGCAGGAGCAGCAACACAGACAGCGGTGCAGAGAGGACTTGGGCTGACGAATTATATTTCCAAAGCACCCAGCGGGCGGTGGCTGCCGGGCCTCGGGCGGCTCAGCCTTTACCCTGCAATAGCTCCCTAAGCCCGGAGAGCCATGTTCGCTCACACACCCTAGTGAACGGAGCGGAGGAATCGCAGGTTATGGGAAGAGGCAGTGAAGGTCTCGGCGCCGGAGGACGGGTGCTGCCTCCCCTGCCTCCTGCTGCGGCGGCTGAGGGTCCCTGGGAGGAAGGACGGCCACTCGAGCCCCCTCCACAGGCCCGGAAGAGGGCTCAGAGCTGGCTGATGGCATCCTTGGGGAAGGTGTAGCTCAGCGGCGCCTCGTAGAGGCTCCCCCCGTCGGTGCTGAGGTCGTCGTCGTCGTCCATGTCGTCCAGCACTTTGCTGGGCAGCTTCTTCAGTCTGCGGGGACAGCGGTCATGAGTCCCGGCCCCGGGCTGGGCCCACCCTGATCTGGAGATGGAGGCAGGGGCTGGGTTCCCGCCTCTCACCCCACTGAGTGGCAGGGAGCATGGGAATTTACCTTGACCATCAGGGAGCCAAGGCCCAGCTCTCAGCTTGGAAGCCGCTGGCTGGGTGGGCTGGACAGGGCAGGGCAGGGCGGGGCTGGGACAAGGTCAGTGGTACTGAGTTTCCCTTTCGTCTCAAGCTCCAATAAGGCTCATCAGGTGCCGTTATTGATCCCACCTTAATTTAAATTTTGGTATCTTGTCCATCGGAGGGTTTTTTTGCATTTTTTAAAATACTGCACTTAATATTATCTCTCTTGATTACTGAGATTACTGAGATTTTTGGTGCCCCCTTAAATGCTGTACTGTAATGCCGGCCCTGGGGCCGAGTTCTCGATGGACAAGCCCTGTTGATAGGATTCTCCAGGGGCTGGAATCTTCCGTCCATTATCAAAGAACTACCTGTGCCGCCAGCACAGTCAGCCTCCGAGAAGGGCTCCACTCCATGGAGAGGCGTGAACCTAACCCACCCCCAACCCCAATGCCCAAGGCAGTGACCCTGCAGGGAAAGCGACCCCTCCCCCCCCAATCCCCTTCAGACCACGGAAGTGGGGCTGCAGAAGCAATTCTCTCCTGCAACCAGGATATCCTAGTCCTCATGAGGATGCACACCAAAACTCTACCTTATTTCTCCCAAAGTTACATATAAATAGGAGAGCTAAGGGCTGATCGAGGAGCTGCCCCCTCCGTGGCGGTGGGAGCTAGTGTTACCTGCTCTGAGCCTCAGTTTCCCCGTATGGACAACAGAGACAGTATCTGCCTGGCTGGCACTGGGGCACTGGTCTGGGGATGACACATGTGAGATCCTACTGAGCACGTGGGGAGATTGAAGTGGGCAGACACTCTTGCCTGTAGGATGGGATGACCCCCAAAAGGCGACAAGAAACTGGCTTGAAGCAATCGGAGTGAGGGTGCCCTAAAAGCACCGAGCTCTCTTCAAATGTCCCTGTGGGGTCACCGCACTTGCCCACCTTATGTTCTTCTTCAAATTGTTGACCTGCCCCTGCAGCTGCTCATTGACATCCATCTGCTCCTCCAGCTCCCTCTGCAGCTTCTTCTTAGAGCTTTCGAGCCTGTCGATTTCCTCCTCGGCCTCCTCCACCTGGCGCTTCATTGCTTTCAAGCGCAAGCTCAGCTGTGTAGGGAGAGAGGGCAGGTTAGTGCTGCTGCTCACCAGCCCGGCTGGATGGAGAAGAGCCCAGCGTGGACAGGCCAGTGGTCCAGCCACCTCTCTAGGCAACCATGATTTCCGGGGAGAGGAGGGGGC